ATAACTTCACCTTTGAAAGACTGTTTGCCAGGCCTTTGATGAATGTGAATGAGAGGAATTCACATTTGTTTAATAAAAGGGGTTTTGTTGGAACCAGAAATCTGCTTCGTGCTTTTTGAGGAAGCCTGGGTCAGAACAGATATCTTTGTATGCAGGGGAAGCAACATGGTTATATTTAAGAAGCTCTTCATCTGAGTTGTTGAATTTCAAGGATCCATTTCAGGTTGCATAAAGTACTTCTTCTCATTTTGTACTCAGCTTTGATTCTTTGAATGATTTCAAAGCGTTTCCCAGTCACATCAGTAGGTCGAAGTTCGACCAGTTCTGTGAAGATAACTGTGATGGGATGTCAGATGTGGCTGCCAAATGTACTTGCACCATTAAGGGAGAATCTTTGTAGCTCAGGGTAGAAATGAGGGGTCCTTGGTGCTCTCTGAGCTTGGTGGTTTTCTTGCAGACATTTCATTACCCAACGACTAGCATTGATGATGTTACCTAGTTTGAGTCATGAAATGTCTGCAGCCACCAAGTTCAGAGAGCACCAAGGACCCCTTAAATGGACCACTGAAGTCAGCAATTATTCTTCTACTAGAATTTTAATCTAAGCAGAAGAAACTGAAGGAGAGAAGCTGAGGAAAAAAAACACATTGTTCACTTTGAATTGTGAAACAGAAGGAAGGATATCCAAATTATGTTCAAAGGGATGTCCAAAATAAAGTTCGAAGATATTGGATCAAGCATAGGATAGATATTGGATCAATTCACTTAAAAAATCTGTCTGGTGGCCCTCAGAGCCATAAAGAAAGTCTCTCCCTTGACTAAGTCTATCAGGTGGGGGAAAAATGTAGTTTTGCCAAACTGTGTGAGATTTTTCTTAACTAGCATTTTGGAGAAGCCGAGCAGCGCAAAAAGAAGATTCCTGTAATGAAGAGTTTGTAACACTCTTAGCTGTTGTTGACATTCCTTCAGTTTGGATCTCAGCGGTGGAACAAGTCCACTTGTCTATTTCTTTGGGGTTACCTCAGCTTCTTCTGAAAAAGCAGCAATGGGAAATTAAACAAAGGCAGCCAAAATGTAAAAACTACTGAGGGGGGTGGGAAGCTGCCCAAATAAGAGAAGCACAGATGTTTGGACAGTTCTACAGCATACGGTTAAAAAAAAGTTGATTATGGTAACATGATTGAAGCTCCACCCATTTTTATGTGACACATGGCCATTGGGGCCACCATTTTGAATTTTTTGACCCTATCCTGTAAATCCTGCTTCTGTCTTGTCTTCAATATTCTGCTAAGCTTATCAAACATGCTACATTCTAAGTCAGCAGCCCTGAATTTTTTGGGCACTAGGGACCATTTCCGTGGGGATAGAATTTTCCGTGGACTAGAAGAGTTGTGGTTTGTGTGCTGCCTGCATTCCACAGATGGGGGTTCCCTTGTTGGTGTGGACCAGCTCCTGGCATGCCATGGCCCGGTGTGTTGGGGAGCACTATTCTAAGCTATAGCTTTCTAATGATGTTCCATAATTTTAATTGAAATTATTTCACTCTTTGGCACATTTTGTGGTAAGATTTAGGTTCACTGAAAAATATGCATATGTCCAAGGTAGGGGATGTATATTAGTTCAAAGAAAATAAATTTTGGCAAGATTAGTAACATTATTTAAAAATGGAGAGAGGGTGCAATTGCTATCACAGAGCAGGATGAGAAAAAACGATGAATGGAAGATATGAAATCTGCAGGAAGCTGTGGATTTTCCAATTCCAGAATTCATTTTATGAAGTCTACAGTTAGGCCAGATTTGGTACAAGGTTAATGAAGAACTTAAATAAAATGGAACTAGGATACTGTTTCTGACCCTTAGCAGCTTTGAGGTATGGGGACCCTAACTTTGTGTGGATAGCCGGGGAACTCTGGGAATTGAAGTCCACATGTCTCAAAGTTGCTAAGGTTAAAGAACACTAAACTAGAAGACACCATCTGTTGAGTCTATTGGAATGTTGGATTTGGTGGCAATCTCAGCAGGATGCATTGAGAAGATGTCCAAGTTGAACTCCAGGTGTGAATTAGGTGGGCTTCCATTCCTCCTGACTATATTAATGGTTGCATTCTATCCATAAAGCAAATAGTGCATCAATCACTACCTCTGGCTTTTAAAATAAAAGACCTACATTCAAATCCTTTTAAATAATGAAAGTCAACTCTATTTCTATGAGGGAGTTGTCGTTCTTGAGATTAGTTTAATTGCAAAACATGGTTGCAAAAATTAGATTGTTGGGAAGTCAATGATAAGACTAAGCATATATCAGTGGTGGCTTCCTACCAGTTCGGACCAGTTTGGGTGAACCAGTAGAGGTTTGGCGGCTTGGGTTGCTGGAACCAACAGCAACCAAGGCCTGCCATGCTTTTGAAATGGTTCTCCGGGCGGCGCCATAGGTGCCGCCATCTTGTTTTTTGCTTCTACGCATGTGCAGAAAACATTTATTGTACTGCACATGTGCACGAGAAGCTCATCAAGCATGTGTGTGGCGTGGCCACAAGTGAATCGGTAGTCGTGAACCCACTCCTGACATATACAGTATCCAGGTGGATTTTACTTCCAAGAAGGATTGGTGGGCTAAAATGCATGATACAAATCGCCAAGGTGCTCTCTGAGCTTGATGGTTTTCTTGCAGAATGTTTCATTAACCAAAGTATGTAACAGTGTCATTGCTAGGTCTTGCATTTTTAGAGGTTGAGAGGTTGTTGTTTTTTTTAGCAGAAATGATAATTATCTTGGATTATTATCTTTTATAATGGGGAATGAAGTTCAAATGGTCTTCTAAAAATGTTATCAATAACTCCAAGCTTGAAGAAATGGACCAAAAGAAGCCATAGATGAATCTCCTGTTGAACTTTGAATAATGATCTAGCAGAATATTTTTTTTCCTGTAATGCATTTCTCTGTTTGCTTGGTGCAGGGGTCAGCAGCCCACAGCTCTGCGTGACCCGTCAAAAGCGCGTTCCACAAAAGCGCGGTCGACGAAATCGCGTATGTGACGTCATCACAACGCGACGAAAAAGATCGAAAAATTGAAATAAAAATTAAATTACAGCAAGCCGATTCACATAAAGGTAAGGGTTAGGTTAAGGGTTAGGGTTAGGGTTAGGTTAAGAGTTAGGGTTAGGGTTAGAGCGTTAGCGTTACGTTTAGTGTTAGGTTAAGGGTTAGCGTTAGGTTTTTCGTTACGTTAAGGGTTAGGTTTAGGGTTAGGGTTAGGTTAAGGGTTAGGTTTAGGGTTAGGTTTAGGGTTAGGTTTGGGGGGGTTAGGGGAAGGTTTTAGCTTTATTTTTACATTTTTCGATCTTTTTCGATCTTTTTCGTCGCGCTGTGATGACGTCACATACGCGCTTTCGTCGACCGCGATTTTGTCGTCCGCAGTTTTGTGGTAGAACCCAGCTCTGGAGCTGCATGTGGCTCTGTCATCCCTCTGCTGCGGCTCCCTGTCGACGGTCAGTAAAAGGAAAAAGGAAAAGGCCACACTAGGAGGAGACTCTATGGTGGGGGAACCGGACTGCCAGTGGGCAGTTGAAAAAGGACACAGCACTAGGAGGTGACTCTATGGTGGGGGAACAGGACATCCTGTCAGCTCCAGAATTGAATGCGGGGCTTCTGGTTAGGACCTTTGTGGCTCTTTGAGCGTCTAAGGTTGCCGACCCCTGGCTTGGTGTATATATGTTTGTTTGTGTGTGTGTGTGTGTGTGTGTGTGTGTGTGTGTGTGTGTGTGTGTATTCTTATCTGTAATCTTTCAAGCCAACCTTTGCATAGGATTCAACTTGCAGCAATCCTATGTACAGAGTTATATACATCACTTGGAAATACTTATCCTGGTTAGATTGTATTGGGTTATGTAGAATTATCAAGGAGGAACTCAATTGGGGTTCTAAGCTGTCATTCATCAACTCTGCCTAGGTGTAATTTTAATTGAGAACTTTACATTCTTTAATGCAGGAAACCGGTTTCAGGGCAATTTAAATTAAAATCACACATTTCATCGATTTTATTGGACTTTGAGGCATGATGTTGCCTTTTGATTAGGTATATAAGTGGGCACCACAATGTCAAAGAGTGCCTGGAATATAAAATTCTTTCATAAATATAAACACCCATCCAAACAGCAAGAAACAAAGAAAGGAAAAAGAATGAATGAGAGGAAGAAATTCAAGCAGGCCAAATAATCAAAGATGCACTACGAAAAAGTTCTGATAGAGGGTTACATACCTGCTTTCCCCTTTCTCCGACTTGTATTCTATGGCTATCATTAAAAGCTTTAGCTTTGCAAAGACCAGTCTGCCAGAAAGAAAGCAGAGGGAAAGAGAACAAAACGAGAATATGTTATTTATTTTGTTGATATGAGTATTTTGCTGTTGTCCTTAAGGCAGGGGTGGGATTCAGCTGGTTCAGACCGGTTCGGGCGAACCGGTAGCTCCGACCATCAGCTAAGAGTGAACTAGTTCCCACCGATGATCAGGCCCGCCCCCCCACCCATGCCCTATACTGACCTATATTCCCTTTTCTGAAGCCCAGCTGATAGGCACGAAGAGCGGATTGCTGCACCTCAGCTGTTTTGCACCAGAGCTGCAGTAGAAGGTAAGTTTTCAAATGCACACAGAGCAAAGCATACGCTCAGTTGTTAGTGTGCGCTTCGCTCCGATTGTTACCCTGGTTGAATCCCACCACTGCCTTAAGGTTATCTACATATAGACCTTTATAAAATATAGTTTAGCTCTTTGCCTGCACTCCTCAATTTTGTTGAAGTCCTTACAACCTTCAGCTATAGCAGTGTTTCCCAAACTTTTGACATATGTGTACCCCTTCTATAATTTTTGTAACGCTGAATATCCCTCATAAAAAACATATACTTTAATAAAAATCAAAATGTATTTCTTTTTTTGGTACATATGCAAAATAAACGAAAGTTATATTATAAAGAACATTTATTTGATTCAATGAGAAGGATGAAATTGTTTATGTTGAGATGACAGATCATCATAATTTGGTTCCCTGGTTGTTAATTTTAATCTGTTAATCAGTTCCCATGTAAAAACTGCGATATGCACCTATTTCCTTCCTTGTTCTGTGGGCGCAGCTAAGCACGGTGCAGTGGATATTCCCACATGATCCCCACCAAACTCTTCCCGTACCCCTGGCGGTATGTGTACCACACTTTGGGAAACACTGGTATAAGGGAACTAAAGCACATGGTTATTTT